AGAGAGAGAGAATGGTAAAACTACTGGCACTGCAGTGTTCTCATAAACAAAGGAACTGTTCTATCTGTCAATTTTTTTTCAGATGTTACACAGAAGGAGGAGGTACGGTTAGCCTAATGCATGGTTAGAATAACATTACTATTAGCTTACAAGTGACAAACTTGGTAAATAAATATATCTCTTACCTCAAGCCTACATTATTTACTTCATCCCACGTGTTCACAGGCTAACAATAAACAAATTACAGCATCACATTAAGACTTATATGGAGAGATATCAGGGTGGTGCTTTAGAAGTGCTGGGTGACACAGGCAACTAAACTATTGCCTTTGGGTGACAGGAAAAACTTACTTTTTTCATATAAGCTTAAGTACTAGGTACCCAGGATTTTATGCTTGGGAACCTTTGGGCTTCTCATAATTTTTCTCAGACCACAGCCTTGGATATATACTTCCAAGAATGAGTATGTGGTAAGAATACTGCACACATGAAGATTTTATCAAATTTTTTAACCATTGACAATGGGGTTGTTAGGAAGGGGGCATGATGGGATGCTAAACTAAGTTTGAAACAGCATTTTCCCATTTCAATGTGAAGGTGGCTGATGCAATGCCACATTATTCTTCTGGCACAAGTTAAAAACAAATTCATTCAACATGTGAAACGTGAAATTTGTAAACTACCTTTCTTGAGCAATTCAACTGAATTAGTTCTTTCAAGGTGCTGTGGTCATGTACAATTTTCAAGCTGCAGGGACTTTAATTTTCTACCCTGTTACACGTAAGTGATTGTTCATTGTATAATGAGTCATGCAAAAAAAAGAAAAAAAAGGACAGATGCCACTGGTAGCCTTCTCTCACATTTAATTTAAATTTTAACCTCTAGGAACTGTCCTACTTACCAGCTCATAAAATGGTTTCCCTTCACCCTCAAATAATGCCTGAGTTGATCATGAAAAAAGAAGAGAAAAAAGTTAATTTACTTGTACAAGGAATTTCCAATAAATTTATTATTTTACTTAACAAATGAAGAAGCTTAAGTCCAAGCCACGTTTTACACTGTGATAAAACAAGACGGGCATTTGAGAAGACAAGGAAATGTAGAAAACATGAGCTGCAGGCAAGTGTTTTCTACATTTCTCGAGTGTTCTCAAATGTCCGGAGTGTTTCATCACAGTGTAATACACGGCTTAGGCTTCTTTGTTAGCTTTATGATATAGAGGTAATGTGGCGAAAAACAATAAAACACCCTTTTCTATGTTTTATAGTCTGATAAAACATGGGTTTTTGACCAATCAGAGTGCACACAGGGTCCTATCTATATTATACTACTTGATGGTACATGTACATGCAACAGCTCATAGACCTCTTGAGTTCATAAAATCTATTGTTGAATGTTCTCGTATACTAAGACTTTAAAACATGCAAGTGTAAGACTGTGAGGGGTTTGTGAATAGAGCGGTTTTTGAAAAGTACATTGGTTTTGCATCAGCTACGCAGCTACATGTATTTATAATTAATTCCTGCAATAATTTAATTGTTAAATCAAATTGTAGTTTACTTGCAGGTTTGATTTGTCTAATGGACAGTGACTCTACATCCTTGTGATTGGATACAGTGATAACAGTACTTGGGTTTGGTTAACTGACAATACTAAATTGAAAGCTGCTCTCAACTATTAATTAACAGTAATTATAATTTTATACATAATTATCATTATTATTACCGGAACTCCTTTGTAGGCATTGTTCACAAGAACATCCAATCGTCCATTTTGTTCTCGACTAACTTTGTCAAACAACTGTTTCACTTCTTCATCATTGCCATGATCACATTTAACTGGAATACATTGACCAGAACTTCCTTGACCTATCTGAAAAATCAAACTTTTTTTAGTAACAAAATGCAAATAATGAACTCCTCTGGTGAACTTCTTAAGAAATGTTGACTTGACAAAGTTTTCAGAGAAAGGGTATGTTAATTCTAGAGGACTTCCTTATACTATAGACAGCTTGCAGGTCTGCCATCCTTCCTGTATGGCTTTCAACAGCTTTTCTAACCTTATCCAGACTAAGGGGGTGGTGGGAAGTAAAGGGGGCAACCTTTGTGACTTAATCTGGAACTTAATTGAGGTTGCCCCACCTTGGTCTAAGAAGATCAAAACAGCCTGGCCTCTGAAAAATTAGTCAGATTTAAAAGAAAAACCACCTCCCACTGCCCAAACATCCCTTCCTCCCACCCCTTCCTCCCCTCCCCCCCACCCCTGCCAGGGAAGGAAGAGGGAGGAGTCTGGAACTAGAAGGCCTGGAACACCAGCAACATTGTCATGGAGACTGGAAACAATAAGACATGGAACCTTACAAAGTCAACACAGTGGCATTTCATTCATATTCAGTGTTATTAAAGAAATGGTATTAATAGATCTCTATTTGCAAAAACAATGTTAATTTTTCAGAAAAAAATGTTACCTTTCCCGTCCTCGAACATTTTTCTTTCTTGGAAAATATTTAATATTTTGGCTGCTCAGATGATGCAAAGGAAAATAACAGATGGGTGCCTAATAAAAAAGCGAATAATCTACCAACAATAAAATCAACACATGTAATACTTTGAACAAAGCTATTTACCTCTTCAGCTGTTTGCCTCAGTGATCCTGGTTTCCCCTCTGCAGTATCAAGAGTCCTCCCTGTTAATGAGGAAAAAAAATCCAGGAAAAATGTTTACTGAATAAATGATGCCCCTTTCTGAAAAAGACAGTCCAGTGCCAATGGCCCAAACCCTTGCAACAGCATTAAAGTCTTATTATCAATGATGTAAGATGAACTTGAGATGACAAGCTAATCCATTACTCATAACCTCCAGTGTCTTCAGCAGGTTGCCTCAGTCCTACAGAAGAATTTACTGACACCCATTAATATATTGCACACCAGTGTCATACTGGAGGGGCCGGGGATAGGGGTTGGAGACTGGGAGAATAGGGGCAACGCAACAGGGGGTAAGAGAGACAGGAAAGGAAAGGGCAGGAAGAGGAAGGTCTAAGAGAATGGGTAGCAAGAAAGGAAATATAATGCAAAATGCTAACTTCCTCTTTTTAGTGCAGAGTGCACTATTGGGATGGTTATGGGGGTTGCCTGCCGCTAAGGAACTAAGGCACTATGGCGCTATGGCGCTATGGCGCTATGGC